AAGAAATGTTTATGCCTCTGCTTTAAAGGTATGATGAAGGATATGAAAAGAAATCAGATTAAACCCATCCGGTTTTTCTAGTTATTGGTGAAAGAGCAATTTTAAAACATCTGCCATTTTGGTTCACGTTAGCAAAGTATTGCTTCTCTTCCAGAACCGCACAGAAGTAATCAGTGATCATGCAAAAAAGACCTCAGGACTAGTAAACTATGCATGAGGCATTTTAACGAAAAAAGGACGCCGAAGTAGGGAATATCAGTGTCACATACTCCATGGAGAATAACACCTCTCTAGCTTAGCGGTGGGGTATTTTGTTTTCTCCGTGAGTCACCGCTCTTCCGTGATTCAGCATGACACATGAAGCGCAGGCAGAAGGCTGGGTCGTTCTGGAAAAGCCTGTTGCGTGGGGGGGGTTCTGTTTGTTTGTTTTCCCTCTTGGCCAACTGCTTTATTTCTGGCTCATCTGAATTACAGTCTGGGCTCTGCAAAGCAGGGCAAGGAGGAGAGCGTTTCTGGAAGGGCAGCAATCAGAAAAACTATTAGGGAATTTGATTGCAAGATGACAATTTTCATTAGGAAGATTAGAAAAATAAAATTTCCAAGCAGAACTCTTTTCTGTAAAAGCTTGTTTCTGATAACTTTTTTGCCATAATCTCTGTTTCGCTGGTACTTTGCAGGACTTCCTGCTGTTTACCTGGAGGGCATGTATTTTTGTGTTGAGGAATATTGGTTAATATGAAACTGTATTTGGGCAGGAGCAAACTGATGTTAAAAAAGTGCTGGAAATTAAAGCCCTGTGTTTACTGTCACAACTGGTGCAGTGTATTTAATAGCTTCATGCAGTAAAAACTTTGCTTCCTCCAGCCCCCGTTTCAACAAGTAGTGGAAGAAAAACGCCTGCGAGTTGCTTTGCCTTTTTCAAAATAAAATACCCACATTAGTTGCTCGTGGGTTGTACGGTCTGGGTAATAAGAGTGCTTGCTCGTTACAGATACCATGCTATTCACTTAGATGAAAAGATGGCAGCCAGATTTTAATTTTTTTTATTTTTATTTACATGGAACACTATGTGGCATCTCTGCCTTTCTAGGTGTGTAGAATCAGCTGAATTCTGCTAGTAGAAGTCTATTTTCCACAGATTTATGAAGAAGAAGATAATTAAGGAATAAAAAAAAACCCCACTTTTGTACTTTGAAATGGAAAGAACAACCTATCATGTCTATTTAGGAGCATTTTTTACCACTTCATTATATCTTCTTTAAAAGCAGTACTTAACACTGGATGAAAAGAATACTCTGGAAAAAAAAGTAATAGGCTAGACATTTTGAGCAGCTGCACTGATAATGAACGTAATCAACTGTCTGTCAGATTTTTCATTATAGACCATGGTTTTCAGAAGTTAATGTAAAAATTTCTAAACAAAATGTACCATAAGTCTACATTTAGTCACAATTAATTATGAAAAGAAATGTATGCAAATTAGTTCTCATTTGCCCGTGGTTTGAATGGCAGCCTGTCAGCGTTTGAGATCACTGCAGTTGCCAAAACGATACCCTACGTAATTTAGGAATGGAAATTATTTTATAATGGCAATCTTTTTAGACAATTCCAAACACCAGATCTGTGACTGCGAATATATGCTAGATGGGTGAAGTCCAAAGCCATCAATATACCATTCTACTGGGTTTGTAGCTTCTAGCTGCAAATGACATTTCAGCTTCAAAATATCCAGGAAGGTTGGAAACAAGCACTAGCGTGGCTCTTGAATAAACTGAGGGAAGATGATGCATTAGATTGTGCCTTTTTATTATTCTTTTTTTTGTGTGTGTGAATTTTCATCTCTTTCATGCATGAAGTTAGAAACTGATGGAGCCATTAAGTGATTGGAAGTGGGCTCTAAAGGTGGTCCATGAAATCATGGCTGGGACAAAAAGTAGGTCTTTTGTCTAATGTTTAGTTGAGATTTTATTTTATTTTTTAATTTGTTCAGTATGTTTAGCTTATTTTGCATAACAGTGTCACTGTATGACTGCATCTTGCCCCTAAAGGACTGCAAAACAGTCTGCTCTTGCCAAGGTCTTTGATAGTACCAACAGTCTGGCAACGTAACACCTGAAAGTGAGTTAATTGAGCCAGAGACTCTGCAAGTTTGTGTTATTTACGGGCACACTGTGAGCCCATAGCACTGTAGAACCAGCACAGAAGTAGTCATGGAGTCATGGAGGTCATGGAGGCCTCAATGTCTTCCCAACACCTTGTATTTCCTTCTTCAAACCTTTCTGGCTGTTCTATTGTTTGAACTATGGGAGAGTTGAATCTATAGTGGAAAATAAACATGGTGAATGGATGTCAATGCAGGGTCTATTTTGCTTTTCCTCCAGCCATCAGGTGACATTTCAGAGCTGCAACGTGAGGTTTACACCTTTTGCCGTCAGTTTCGGTTTGGTTGTTTTTTTTTGAGAAACAGTTTTGATTGTTGCCCTCCAGTTTGCCCAGCAATGAGAGGAGGGAATTATATCATCTACATGTCACATCCTGGGCCTCAAATCTGGGAACATCTGTGTCCTGGTCTCAGGTCAGACATTGCTCTGGGGCAGGCTGCACTCAGAAGGCAGCCCAACTCTCCACCACACTGCACTCAGAAGGCAGCCCAACTCTCCACCCATGCCAGCCTGCCTCTCCACCATGTCGGCTTTGGAGGTATGGTGTTTGGAGCTGGTCAGGCTCCAGTCAGACAGAGGGGCACCAGAGCAACAACTCAGACTCCTGTGCCTGGCCAGCTTGTCTTGCTGCTGATGTGCAACCAGGCTCCAGTCAGACAGAGGGGCACCAGAGAGTAGCAACTCAAACTCCTGTGCCTGGCCAGCTTGACTTGCTGCTGATGTGCAAGCATCCTCTGCTACTAGAAGTACATTCAGATGTTGAGATGTCACATTCAGTGACAGGAGGTGGTAACACTTGGTTTCTCCCTAGGTTTATTAAGTGCAACTCCTACAAGCAATGAAAGTGAGATGGGATGTCACATTCAGTGACAGGAGGTGGTAACGCTTGGTTTCTCCCTAGGTTTATTGTTTTAAGTGCAACTCCTACAAGCGGTGAAAGTGAGGTGAACATTGCTCTGGGGCAGGCTGCACTCAGAAGGCAGCCCAACTCTCCACCCATGCCAGCCTGCCTCTCCACCATGTCGGCTTTGGAGGTATGGTGTTTGGAGCTGGTCAGGCTCCAGTCAGACAGAGGGGCACCAGAGCAACAACTCAGACTCCTGTGCCTGGCCAGCTTGTCTTGCTGCTGATGTGCAACCATCCTCTGCTACTAGAAGTACATTCAGATGTTCAGATGTCACATTCAGTGACAGGAGGTGGTAACACTTGGTTTCTCCCTAGGTTTATTAAGTGCAACTCCTACAAGCAATGAAAGTGAGATGGAACTCCTTTTCATCCCACTTTAACTCCTTTAAGTGAGAAGGGAGCCAACACCATGCTGCATCCTTGCCAGCGAGCAAGGTTAAATGCAGAAGTGCCTTTCAGATGTAGGGTGACCGGGCTGCAGGGATGTGGATGAGGCCACCTGCTACCTCGCAAGGGTGCCTGCTTCCCACCCCGCTGAAAGGTCACAAAATAGAAAGCAGTCAGCTGGACGATTGCTTAGTTTCAAAGGTGGGGAATAAATCTGGATACGGCCAGTATAGGCTTGGCCCAAAGAGGGAGAAAAGGGAAGAGCTCTAGATGCTGACTGAATAAAGACACTTTGCAACCCCTTAGATGTTTTTAAGGGGCCTGGTAAGGTTTTGCCAAATCTGTGAAGTCATCTTTATTCCAACACCTCTTCTCCTTTACCCTCTTCCATGCATGTTCTTTGCTCTGTTTTGCTCTTGCTACAGTTGGCTTTTGGCAGAGGAAGCCAGGAAGTTTGGGCTTTCTTGGGTTCTGTATTAAATTACTAATGACAGGAGAAGAGGGGTTTTGCTTCCTGTCTTGAAGTGGTAGATGGCCGTTGGGCTTGTTACCCTTCAGTACAGGCATGGAGTCATCAGTGGCTTAAAAGCAAGAGAACAGTCATTAAAGAAAAAACAAAACTTATTTTCAAAAGCAACAAAATGGAGTAATTTTAAGTTCTGTAACCGTTACTTAGGTATAATTTTAAATAGCTTTTCTCTGAAAACTTAATATTTCACACTCATGCCATAACCTACATTCAGGTTATGCTATGTTTTTTTTTTTCTTGTATGTGATTTCCATACGTGTTCAGTGTCTTAAACAGCAAGACTGGTTTTTGCGGTGCTGAGGTTGTAGGAAAGGGCTCCTCTGTTCTCGTTGAAAGCAACACTGTCCATGTGCAGTGAAAAATATGATAGAGATTCCTCTATCATATTCCTCTTTTCACCTAATGATTTTGTTTTCACTCACACAATAGAACATGTCTTGGAAAATTCATTCATTGGGCACATTTTGGGGGTTTCAGAAGTCACGGAACTTACATTTTAAGTTGCCAAGGGGAAAGATAATTCTTGTTTGTCAAGAAAATAAAGTTCAGAAGATCAAACATCTCCAGTTTGGAGATGGATTTGCCTTTCATCTTTCTGTCTTTCTCCCTCTCTTTCCGCACCCCACCTTAGCATCTGGTGTCCGCAAGCAGCCTATACATACTGCAGCTACTGGGCGAGAAGGTTCTCTGTTTCAAGCAACCATTCTATCACATTTTTCTTTTTTGGAGTACACTGAATCTTCAAGTATAATAAAAGAAATTACTTTCTTTCTGACAAGCAATAGGGTGGGTGATTGGTGTGATGAATTGCAATTCTGCAGCGTTCCTCTCCATGCACTTACAGGGTGGGATTAAAAAAGGTGCTGCTGCGAGTGTTGTCTCTGCTGAAACCTGCCTGCAGAGCAGGGGCTGATTTCATGCATGATGCATGTCGGAGGAAACGTTTTTTGAAAGCTAGAGCTAAATGTGGTGCTTCCGATAATGCCCTAACAGGTGCTGTTGTTTTCTTCCAACAGTTACCCTGCTGTATGTGAATTCCTACAGCACAATAACTTGTTATCTATACTCCGAGCTCATGAAGCCCAGGATGCTGGGTAAGTATGTGTGGAGAGGGCACACTAATAATGAATAATGGCTTACTGTTGTTAAACAGAGCAAAGTAAGAGTTAAAGAATAACTGAGCATGAACTGGAAAACTTAATATTTAGTTGCAACAGCTCTTACTTCTTATTAAAGCTAGAAAAACATACGCTGGCATTAGAATGTCTTTTACATGATTATTACTAAGTTACAGGATTTAGTGAATGCTCATATATCCCATTTACTTAGTGATTTTAAGTGGCATAAAATGACCAAAAGTGATTTGGATGCCAAACTTGGGAAGGAAAACAAATTCAGCTCAGCCAAAGAAGTTTTGCAAGTGTGTCTGAGACTTCTGACACACTGATTGCAATGATGCCTGGGAAGTGACGTGGCTCATGACTGCCAGAACTTTCATACCTACCCAAAACTTCTGGGCCTACTGGTTTTAAACTTTATCAAGAAAATAAACTTGTGGAACTCAATACCTAAAAATGATCTTAAGCAGGAGTAATGATTTAAGGAGTTTATCAAGATGCTGTGTGCAGAAACAGTCCAGGTCAAGCACTGGGTGATGTTGATGGTTCCCTTGTGAAACTATTGCCATTGTAAAGACTACAATGTAAAAATTATCTATTCATTGAAATAAACCATGCTTGTGAGATTTTAATGAAGGATTGGTATCTGAATAAATAGCTTTGCATATCTTGCATAAATTATTAATGTGTTTATTTGGAGGTAGAAACTTTACCCAACCTGAATAGCAATAAAAGATAAAGTAGCAAGATTGTAGGAATGAGGTTGATATTCACTATGCATATAAAAAGCTATTTTGAATGTTTGAATTATCACATACTTAAAAACCTCAATACAATTAAAAGCAAGTTATTACTCTGCCAAAAATAACTGGCATGAAATACCCAAGGGTAATGAAATTTCATTTTTATTGTATTGCTTTCCAATAAAGGGTGAAAAATAAAATTTCGTAGGAGGGATTGCATTGAGACTATACAGTGGTTTCAGTGCAGCTATTGTGGATGTTTGCCAAATTCTTCAGTTTCTTGTAGCTGAAGACTGAAGAGCAGGATTTGGTGTTACTTGTGTCTTAGTAAGACAAAAGTACTCTTTGTTTGGTTTCCTTCCAATTACTTGCAGGTTTAACGCTTGGTTGATTATATGTTGGTCCAATAAGCCTTCTATTTTTCATAAGGCAGCAAGGTTAGTTAATGAAAATATGCAAGTGTTAATAAACTGGCTAATCAACTGGATGATATTAGACACAGCACGGAAAATATTTGACCCCCTGTCTCTCCTCCCCTTCTCATACTTTGCATCCCCTCTGCCCTCCAGGCAGCTGGAGGGTCATGGAGGATGAAGGCAGTACCACACATCTCCAGGGCATCTGGAGGACCCGCAGTCCCAGGGAGGGAGAGTCTGGGAGAGTCCTGGGGTGCAGTTGCATAGAGGCCCCCTGACTCCAGGGATGGGCACTGAGCAAATTCATAATAAAATCCACCTCTGGCACACTAATGTTCAGATGCAGACACAGCTTTTGAGTGTGGTGTGGATCCCTGGGCATCCCAAACGGACATAATGAATAAGCCTGCAGGAAATATTTATATTTTTTTTTTTAGTGTCTGTAAAAGCACATATGCATGTTTTTCTGTCTTGGCATTTGTTAACAGCCAGTGGAGTAATGTACTAGGGTTTTTTGCACAATATTTGGTCAGTGACAAATACATATACAACATTGGGCAGTAATGAATATCTTCTGTTTCCTTTTAGGTATCGTATGTACAGGAAAAGCCAAACTACAGGCTTCCCTTCACTAATCACAATTTTTTCAGCACCAAACTATCTAGATGTATACAATAACAAAGGTAAGAATTTAGTCCTAGTTAATATACAGTAGGCTGTACTTCTCTTTACTCAAATATATTGCATTGGTGCATTTTCTCACTCCTTTATGTATCAGTTCATGCCCATTTTCTTCCGCTATTTATTAGTTCATGCCCATTCCATATATTACATAATAAACATTTAATTAACTCAATTACAGGCAGATGCATGCCTGTGAACATACCTGTACATTCTAATATGCCCTAGGATATTCCTGTATTTTGACTGTGCGTTATTAAGTAAAAGTTACACAGGAAGCAAAACTGAAAACAGCTCTACTAACTAAGAGAAGTATATTAACAGGTGCTGTAGGTGAGGTGTTCAGAGCCCAGTATTGCTTATGATCAGTTATTTGTCCCTTTGCTACTTTTCAATAAAATTAATGAAGTTTGTATATGCAAACCCTCTATTCAGCTAACAGATCATCAGTGGATAAAGTATGCGGGAGATATTGTCTGAGTTCTTTTATGTTTTGCTTTTCTTAATCACTTGAAAACTATTATGTAGGAAATGAAATCTCATTAGCCAAAAATAAAATAAAAGTTAGTGCAGAAATAAGCAGTCGCTGGTCACTCTATGAAGACTCCATTGAATACAAGTCTTTGCAGCTTATCTGAGTTTAATAGTTTATTGCATTCCCTGAAATCTCCTCTAGGAAACTGGAAAAAAAAATCATGTTTCTAAAAATAAAGCATTCTAATAAACCTGTCCTCCTATATCTTGAAATGAGCAGTAACGTTTACTGTCTCCTATTCCCAGTAAAGCTAAAGTTATTTGTGTTTCTCTGTGAGCAAAACAAAATAATTGTTTTTCTCAATGGTATTCTTGAAAGTAGATTCATTGCAAAGAGATCGGTCTTTCTTGAGAAGAGACATTTTTAATTTGGATGCTTGCCTGCAAAGGAGCAATTTTAATATTTTTTTTTTTTAACTTGCAAAGGAAAGCTGCTTCAGGCATCATTTTATAATATAGAACTTATAATCTAAAAGCTGTTACGCCATGAACTGTATGCAAGGGAAGGAAACACTTCACTCACTGTTAGATAATGGGGTTTGTACACTTCAGTGTTCTCAATATGTGTATTAACTTGTGGAAAAAAAATGAGTGAAAGCATTCTGCAAAAATACCTGCAAGCAGAGTTGTCAGTAGCTGCTTTTGTGAAAGTAAGTAACATAGAGACTCTGCTAGCAACCTGAAAAGCACAGGATGAAACCAGGAATGTGTTAATATTTTTGGCAGCATCATTGGTGTTGGTGGGACAGCGTGTGTCCTCTCCGGGTTGGCTGCTTTGGGTAGAAGGCAGGACCGGTGACGAGTCTGTACAAGTACGGTGACACACAGTGTTCACCTTTTGTTTCTTAGTAAGCGGAGGCAGTTCCGTGCACATGAGGGCAACGAGTGAACAATGCGGGTTGGCTGCTTTGGGTAGAAGGCAGGACTGGTGACGGGTCTGTACAAGTAAAGTGACAGACAGTGTTCACCTTTTGTTTCTTAGTTAAGCGGAGGCAGTTCTGTGCACATGAAGGCAATGGGTGAACAACATGAGATTTTTGTCATGAAGACAAATGTGAAGTGTAAAGAGAGGATTTATAATATTCAAAATCTTGAATTTGAAACCACAAGGTTTGGGTGGTGAGGAGAAGTACCTCTCCGTTATCTCCACTTCAGGAGAAAGGGTCATTTCCCTTGCTCCAGGATGCTCCACTGTGGCAAGCAAGTCTTAAAACTGGTGGAAAGCCTTCTTTGGTGAAAAGCTGCTGATAGACACTGGTTGTCTCTGCTCACAGCTGAAGTTTGGGTGAGCTGCTGGAGGCCTCTGCTCTGAGTGAGCTCAGGCAAATCGGTGGTGGTGGTGCACCACTCAGGTGGTGGAGGTGCAAGATCAGCACCGGTGTGCCACACTCTAACGTATGACTTGTTGTAAATTTAGAGGCTGACCTTTAGCAGCTTTGTAATGAATTTCTGTTGGGTTTAACTGCCTCCTGTTCTCTCATTAGAAGTTTTGACACATTATTTCATGTGACTGATTGCACTGGCTCTTGGCATTTAAAGTACATCATGCATGGTTTCTCATGCTGCATTGCTCATGCATCTTCATCTGGATATAACATTTGAGTGCTCCCTTCCCTCTTCAAGAAAGAAAACCACCACCGTCCTCAATCAGTTTAAAACATGGCTACTTGTTTGGTTTCCTTGATTTGCTGCAGATGAATTTACTAGGAACACAGAGCTTCTGACTGACTGATTTCAGGAGGCAAAGGAAGGCTTTTCCGTACAGAGGTGTTACAGGACAGAGTCAGCTCCATCTGACTCATCATGCACTGGTGCAGAACCTGATCGATTTTTACAGATCATTTTGGGGGTTTGGTTACTGTCAGTGCTTGGAAAAGGAATTTAGTCTCCTACTAGTAAGTGCCTTCCTTTCTAGTGTGCATTCTTATTAGGCTTCTTGTTGTCACTTAGCTAACAAAGTCATCCTAAATAAACTCCTAAGAGGCTTTATCTCCCACTGGCGCTACTGGGTCAATTCTAAATGCAGTGTTTAAGATAAATACGTATTTTTAAAAAGCTGCAAGGGCTAGGAATGCTTATTTTCTATCCCAGGTTGATAATTCTCATACCCATTAAAGCAGATATACTTTCTTGTACTTCTTCAAAGCACTTCAAAAGGAGTGGGCTTGGTTGCCGGCTTTATCCAAGGCCTTATTCAGTCCCTCAACCCGCTGGAGATCAGCCACTAGGATCAGATATGTAGCCAAAGAGCATTAGGGAGGCAACATTCCCAGAGGAAAAGGAGGTTCAGCAGGAGTAGCTGAAGATAAGGTACCCCAAAAAGACCATGTTCAGTGTATTGGCTGTTAATAATGCTGCTGTGGATGCTGTCTCACAGTACTGACCCACCACGGGAATCTCTTGTGGCTTTTGCTCTGATGGATTCTGGCACTGAAGGGAGTTTTCTGTATCCTTTTGGTTACTGGCCACTTGCCTCTTGAAGCCTGCATGAGTAATTTGTCTGTCATGTGGTTGCTGGTCCTGTCGCAACCCCAGCCCACACACATGCACAACTTTGGGTGCCAAAGTTAGGTTTGTCAATTAGGAGGTTCCTTTTGGGGGTTCCCTGTGTAGTTAATGGAGACAGAGACACTTTCAGGAGGCAATTCAGAGACTCGGAAACTGCCTAGGTATGGGGAGCCTAGTGTCCCTCCTCTCTCCAAGACTATCCTTCTTCATTATTTTTATTTATGCTTTCCATAATCGTTATAATGGAGAGCATTGGCAAGGGGAGGAATTTATACATACAGTTTTTTGGCAACTTCCAAGCTTCTGTTCAGTGTTTCCATAGCTTTCTCAAACATTTGTGCTCTCATTTATATTGTTAAAAGGCATGAGGAAAAAGATACTTTAAGATTATTATTAAAACTTGTTACAAGTGCACTGATGATTTTCTAAGACTGCTTCCTCTGGAGAGGATCAAAACACCTCATGCAAGAAGATAAATGTTAATTGGATTGTGATAGTTACTGGTGAGATCATGGCCTCGGAGGAGGGCTGTACTGATCAAGAAACTCTGAGAAAGTCATGTAAGTAAGCACAGGTTTACTCCTGGATTCGAGGGTGCCCATCACCAGGAGAAATTTGCCATAGCAACAGAGGAAGAGGTTGCCAAAAATTACTGCATTGTACGATCTGCTGCCCTTGTACCATATAAAAAACTTTAATTCCCACATTTAATATTTCTTAATGCCTTAATTGGGACTTGCTCTAATGCTCTTCATGCCACCAAAAAAAGAAAAAAAAAGGCAAGCGAAATGTTTTACAGAAGTTCTGCAGAGGCAGGCAATTTATTTGTAAATCATTGGCAATACTTCATATTTTAGTGTCTGGCTGTCACTTCAGTAAGTGCTTGCTTTTTGGCTGAGTGAACAATTTTAACTAGCTGTCTAAAGACAGACTATCATCTTTTGAACATTTTTAAAAGATTAAGTTTCGTAGTGGTGAGATAACCACCAGAGAATCCGGAGCTATCAAAAAAAAATAACACAATGTCCCTTCCAAATGCTGCAGTGTCCACGTGGTGTGGCTGAAAGGAAAAGCAGATGATGAAGGAAAGAAACAAAGAAAGTATGCAGGGGAGTTTGGCATACTAGAAATATCAAAACCAGCTGTACATCGCTATGCTTGTTAACCTATCAGATAAGTAATATATCAATGAATCACAGAATCTTCTCGGTTGGAAGGGACCTTAAAGATCATCTTGTCCAGCCTGTGGCATACCATAGGTACACGTTAAGAAATGTACCTGATCCAAATGGATCTAACAGGAAAGTGATTTTCAGGTTGGAAAAAAGCAGAGTAATATACCCGGAAGACAAGGATGATCTTTGAGAAAAAATAGCAATAGGAAAGCAGTGTAACCTTCTGTTTGCCCTATCAGTTTTCTTTAATGCTGTATCTCTGCGGTTGTGATGAGGCCTTGTCATGGAAACAAAAGCTTTTAAAGAGGAGCTGTCAGGGTATCTAGGCCATCTCATTGCCGATGCAGCGAAGTTTGCCAGAAGTGATTTTTGCAGTCTTATTGACAAAAATTTTGAACACGATTGCGCTGTTCTCTTGGAATATGCAATTGTACGTGTAAAATGAAAAACTTCAGAATTCTGTAAGGGAAGATTTTTCCCAAATGCAATTAGCCTCACTATTATACTGGATTATTTACATCATTACCCTGTATAGTAAATCATTTTTTCCTTTGATAACGTTCAACTCCTTAAGCATTTTACTAACCCTTATCCCTGACCTGTCTCGGGCAGAAAACGCTGTGGTTACTTAGCAACTCTGCTGGAGGAGAAGGCACTGTTCCCAGTTGCACAGTCAATGCTGAAGCTAATTTGGCATTAAATCAGAAATTGAAATTCTTTCTTAGGTATGAAGAATTTGAGAACCTTTCACTGCATTTCTTTTCTAAATGCAGAATGAATTTTCTGAAAAAAATTACAAGAAAATGAGTTAACTTGTTTGCCAAAAATTATTTTTGAGGTTTTTTATCTAAAACCATGTAGCTCATTCTGGGCTAGTACTTCTACCATGCTCATCATTTTTTTCCTCTGATGGAAACGTTATAAATCAATTTACGCTGAAAAATGGTCCAGGAGATTTTGAAGCAGGATATGTAACATTTTGGGGTAATTCTGAACTATATTGGTCACACAGTTTAATGTTGTTCATGTTGCTTAAGACCTTAATTCAGCTCCAACCTGAATTTTAAAGGTTTTAAAGGCTTTTAAAGCACCATTTGAGATGTCAGAAGGATCTGAGACATCCATTCAGACCTGACAGATAGCACACAGGAGACATGGGTGCTCCAGGCTCATCTTTAACAGAGGGAGACCAAGGAGATGCCCCAGGGTGTCTCAGGTGGCACTGGGTGCTTCTTATACTTGGCCCTGAAAAAGTGAGTAGAACTGTCTCCATTTCTAGCTGAAGGAAGGAGGTTTCTTACCTGCACATTTTCCACCACCTGTATTTCCATCCTTAGGTACTGGTGTTAAATGCTTAAAGCTAAACAGTACGGGAGCCCCTTGCCTGCTGCATTAGTGTTTCATTTCACTCTAATGTGATTTCAGCATCCGATATCTCGGTTTACTAGCATTGGAAAGAAGTATAATGTCATTTGGGATATCTGCACATCTTCACTTTACAAAACATTAGCTTCTAAAACTCATTTACAACAGCTAGTACCAAAATTAGGTTAAAATGTGTGTGGCTGTTAAGAATAATAAAATAAGATTCTTGCTCTGGTTTGTGATTGTACATGATAAAACCGTGACTGGTGGCTTGGTCTGCTAGCATCTGTCTGAGTATACGTTTGGAAAGAAAAGTATAGGAGTTGCAGCCTGGAATATTAAGGAACTGAACTTGGAAATGTTGGAGAGAGTCATGTTTTCCTCAGTGACGGGTTTCATAACCAAACGAACCCATCCCACTTTCTTCTGTCTCCTCCATCAGCGGCCACGTGGCCTGTAGCCATATAATCTTCAAAAGATTCCCGCTGTGTCAGGGCGGCTGGGGTCTCCTGCAGCTACTTAGGCATCAAGTTAATGTGGACTAAGATATGAAGCAGAGGTGAAACTCCCAAGCCCTTTCTGAGCCAACAGAGCGGGGAGGGAAGGAGCCGTGACTGAAAGAAAGGAATGTGCCAGAAAAGCTCAGAGAAACTCCTGCTGTTAGCTGAGAAGCATTTTCTTCTTGATCCAGGTGGAGTTTCTTCTTCTGACTACTAAGCAGTAGCAGGAGCTGCACAATCGTAGCAAGAGCCAGTTTGTTTAGTGTTAAACACCATCTTAATTACTTAGCAAATAAAAATATTTTGTGTACATTGTGCTTGTAAGTGAAAGATTTTAAATTAAAAATACAGAAAATTATTTGTGATACTGATAACTACCCTACCTTATTTTAATCTTTTAAGAGTAGGGTTATTTTAGAAGACTTTGGTCTTTGCTTTACTGTGTAATGTTATTTTTATTCAAGTGGCTTTTCAAGCCATTTCTGTGGCAGAGCTGCACAGGTCATTTACAGAGGAGAATAGTTTTTAAAATACTCTGATCAGAACTTGTTTTTGTAAGATACTCAGGTATATAAATTAAGGAGGTGGTATAAAGATTTTTATTTAATAGTAATCTCAAAATAAATTGTCTTCCTTTGAAAAAAAAAAACAAAAACAACAAACACCCCCAACCCACAGCAAACTAAAGCTGTTTATATTTAATTTGATGTTTTCCAAATGTTCTGCTTGTGGTTCAGGCTTTTTTAGAGGCCAGTTTTAGAAGTTCCTTGTGAAAATGATTTATTCAACTTCCACAGAATTTAGGAATAGACCTAATGGATAAATTGAAAAAATAGTGGAAAAGGAAACTACCTCAGCTCACTAAGATGATGAAGCTGAAGTTTTAGTCCTTCTAAATGAAAATTCACAACCATTAAATGGTCCTTTTTTCTGTGGTTTTGAATCATTTTTTTCTATAAAACCACAAACTATTTATTTTTACTGTGCAATTTTGGCACTCTAATAGAAGGAGAATGAATTTCAATCTACTGTAGGTAATTTCAGCCAAAAAGTGATGCAGATATTAAGAGCATCGACACTAGTTTTCTCATTTTTGCTAATAGCCATATTAAGCCACTTTTATTTTCCTGCAAAGCAGAATGGCTGCCAACTGTCAGACTAGGGTGGACAAGAGTCAAATGTGGTTAATTTAAATGGAGAGTGTCTGCCTGGCAAAAGTTTGCATAAATGTTAGCAAGCCGTTTTCTGTGTCTATCAGTGAGGAGGCTTTAGAAACTCCCAGGTCACTCTGGACTCTGTCATTGGCCACAAAATGGAAGACATTTAGCAATTTTTGTAGGAAGGAACAGTCTACTGCGTCAAAAAAGTTCCTTGTATGATTGACATGTCTTTTAGTCAATGGAAGGGGATGAATAATTATTTACCCCCCTTCAGCCAACGTTGCGATACACTGCATTTCCTGTGGTGCTGTGGCATATTGCAGTCCTGCAACTTCATTGTCAGTGTTGGTCATTAAGGGATAACCAGGCCCTGGAACTATGTTTGTCCCTGGGTAGCCACAGGTTGGAAGGCTGGAGAGAAGGGTGAACAAAGTAGGATATGCCTCCTTCCCTACGTACTTTGATTCAGGCTGTTTCATCACTTCCGAAGGCATTATCATGTCTTGCTTCTTTGATTCATTTTTCTTTGACTTAAGCTTGAGGAGGATCATTCTGAAGGTTGCAGGTTACTAGATCTCATTAGGTGGCTTAATTCATAACTTAAATAGGCAAATTAGAGCTGATTTACATACAGTTACATACATGTCTTCCAAGGTGTGCAATATATTGTCTCTAGCTGAAAAAGTATTTGTTGATGGCTCATCTGCAGCTACAGAACTAGAACTGCTCCAGGATCAGGTGATGACCAGCAGGATGCACTGAAGTCAGTGCTGTCTACATGAGAGGAAGCATCTGAGCAGACGTTACATTCAGAGCTATATGTAAATGCTGGTAGTGAGATCACCAGCAAACTCTGTGTAACGTTGACCAAGCTGTCTTTTAAAAACTGAAACCCCACCATTCTTTTTCTAGTAATGAAAGTGTAAAGCGCCAGCACCTTTTACAGCCAATGGAAGCTTCAGCTTGTGTTGACTGTCTTAGTCCTGTGTTGATTAAAGATCCTGCCTGCAGTCTCCTGTGACTGTATTGTTTAAAAATTTTTACATCTTTTTGTTCAGGGTAGTTAGGAGTCCCTTTGGTTTTAGGTGGTCACCTCAAAATTACCTTTTTCTCCATAAGCAAAGAAATACTTACTCTTTTGTGTCAGAAATGTCTCTGTGCGTATCCCAACAGCACGTGTTTTCCGTGTCAGTGCAATTTAGAAATTACTGAATTTCAGGAAACAGATTATGTAAATTAAAATATACCCTAATTAGGTTATAGATAACGTTAACAGGTTGAGTCTTAACTGCATGATTAAGATTTTACATTACATGTGTCTTTGCAAGAAGACAGAAAAGAAAAAAGGGGGGAAAGAAAAGAAAAAACAGAGAAGAAAGGGATGAGATTTAGTTTTACTGTTTCATAAGCTGAGATAGTTGGCGTATAAAGTGAAAAACAGAAACCCAGCACTGGGTGATTTTTATTGGAAGACCATATTATTGAAAGCTCTCCCTCCATACACTCTCTTAAAGCCAACAAATAGAAGTGTGATACACAGGTCTCGTGTGCCTAGAGTGTGAAACACGTGAGAAGAAAGTGTCATCTGTTGCACAATACTATGAATTAAATATGTTGAAAATGTTCATTGGAAGAGCAGCCTTCAAACTCTGAGTGATAAACGCTTTCCTTTGTTATCTCCAAAGTGTGGTTGTGAGGAGCTCAGATAACTCTGTGGACTGGGTGGTTGTGGATGGTCTGCCTTGTTCCCTGCTGGTGGCAGATCCCAGAGCCTATGTTTACAACTGCTCAGAGTTATTAATTCACTTAACCAACCCATCTTAGTGCCAGGCAAAGCTGGAAATGGCTTGCAACTTCTTTGAGGCTGTGTCCTATTGTAACTAGCAGCAAAGTGCTGCCACTAGGTCAAGTGGTTGAAAGCTGGTGAGCAGCTCTGCACTCCGTGCACCCTGTGAACATTTCTGGTCTGGTAGCCGGTCACAGGCACGTGGCTGACGTCGCTCTTGTTTCTTTCCTTTCTTCCTTCCAGCTGCAGTATTGAAATACGAGAACAACGTTATGAATATCAGACAGTTCAACTGCTCCCCTCATCCCTACTGGCTTCCAAACTTCATGGATGTGTTTACCTGGTCCTTGCCGTTTGTGGGTGAGAAAGGTACGTAAATTGGCTCTGCTCATAGAGACTGCAAAGTGATCCCTTAGTCACTATGCCTGTGGTCTATTTCATTTGAAATCACAAGAATAAATGGAAGACAGATGACTTTCTTTCAAGGACAGATTTGAAGAAACAGGCCTCAGGGGGGCAAGCAATTACCAATAGTTAATCACACTTCTCGTATGTTTTTATCATTTCCATTCTTTCCAGGCTATGATGCCATTATATTTCTGCTGTAGAAATAGATTTTATGACATTGCAGGCCAGAGGTGCATTCACTGAATAAAATTCCTATTAGTTGTTCCTCTGTAAGCTTTTGAGCCTTCCCTTGTATATTGCTTGCTGCTCAAGGGACATCACAACAGCCTTTGCTGCATCGTAGTTCCATCCTCACCCAGCTGACCTCTCTGATCAGTTGATGACAGGTTGCTTTTTCACCAGCAAACACACAGCTGGTGATGGTTAAGACCCAATCTGGTTAACTGTTCCTGGAGAGAGTAGAGAGATGTTGATGACAGGTTGCTTTTTCACCAGCAAACACACAGCTGGTGATGGTTAAGACCCAGTCTGGTTAGCTGTTCTTGGAGAGAGCAGAGAGATGGAAGGAAGGAAGAAGGAAAACCTGCTCCTCAGCCCCTTCTGTGCCCAGGGCGTACGGTGCCTCATGGCTGGCGAGAAGACTCTAAAGAACATAAATGATGTTTTATTGAAACACGATGCTCTTGATGTTGCCCGAAGACAACTTCATGCTATGAATGGCAAGCACACAAAAGGCATGAAAACACTTTGGTCTAACATATTAAATGAATATATAATGCAAACTGCTTAAACCCCAAGTCATTTTATTCAGGGCCCGAGATGAAGCTTGCTTTGATCCATCCATTATAGTATATTACTGCAACAGCAATTACTGCCAGAAAACTATAATAAACTCTTAAAAGCTGCTTGGAATAACAGTTCTCTCTTAATAGGCAACTGGAAATACAGCCAGCTGTGGCTCTTACCTGCAGTCATGACTGGCTTTATTTTCAGCTACTCTTTTGTACTAGGAAAGCCGCTAGTGAGACGCCTGAGGTCTCTGTGAACAAAGCAGATAGACAATAAAATAGGGATTAACAAAGAATAGACAGCTGTTTCCACTAATGGAGACATTACATAATCCGTGCTGACGCGTGTTGCAGACTCTTGCGAAGCTGATAAAACGCTTTCGTTTTCTTTGGCCGTAAACTCAGCCAGAGCATTTTTAGGATGGGCCTGTTCTCCATACGTGTTGCCGTTCCATAAGATGCTCTGTAAGGTCATTTTCCCAGAGCTTTCCCATCAGTGGCCTCCTCAGGTGAGGCTGCAGGATGCACAGCCAGATTTGTTGAAGTTCTGAGACCATAAACACTCCTCCTTCGTCCATTTTTCCTTGGTTTTGTTGTGGGTTTTTTTTACCTCCTTCATGTCTTACCAATTGCTTGGAACTTTAAGACTCGAGAATCGAAATCAGTGTTTTCCCTTTCTATATATAACAAAACTCATGGATGTAAGAGTTGATGTTCTGCACAGCTTTTTATTTATTTCCTTTTTTTTTTATAGATTTTTTTCCTTAAAGGCCAACCAAGGTAGGAAGCTGTTAGTTTCACTGGTGGTTGTTAATGTGGAAAGTCTTTCCACTAATTCTGTCAAAGGAAAATATTAAATTCTTCACTAATGTAGGAAAATTATGGCTGTGTCCCACCCTTCTAATGTGCTATGCCATCATACTTGTCACAGAAGAGGATTTTAATAACCACTTGATTAAAAAATTTATACTTTCAACCTGTGTAGCTAGTGCAAGGCTAGACATGCCTGGTAACCCTTTTAATGATGCTTACTACATGTAGATGTAGTGGAGTTTTTCTCAATATGCTAATGATTTCACATTTTACCTCATAACTTTGTCTTTTTTGATCTCTAAATTTCATTTCCGTGGTTGTGATTTTTGCTGGGGTTTTTTGGTTTGGGTTTTTTTTGGCTGTTCTTACTCTGTGTGTTCTCTGGTTAGTGTCTCACTGTTGCCTTTCCAAAAAGAGCTGAGATCAGGTTAGGGATAGTGTGAGGCTGACCCTTCCGTGCCTAAGTTGCAGAGTTAGAAGGTTGAATATATTCTGAATTCACAGATAATGACATTTATATTGAATACATAATAGTTCCAGCTGGAAGGGGACCTACAACGATTATCCGGTCTATTTGTCCTGGATTTCAAGAGACACTGCCCCTTTGTAGGCATCTTACAAGGGTTAGTGTTTGGTTGAACTGAAAGTACAGCATTCCAAACTTGGATAAATAAATAAATATTGTGTGATCCCTCTTGCTGTACCTTTTTCAATTGAAATGTCATTCCTTTGGCAGAGCAGGCCATTCAAATCCTACTGCAGCAAGAGGAGGGTTCTGCTGTCCAAGTTGAGTGAAAGGCAAAAATGTATTGAGGGGAGAAATCAAAAGATACCTAGTTTATTGAGAATTGCAAAAAGAGAGGTTGTAAGCACACTAATTTTTTTAAGGTCTGTTTGTTGTGGTATTTGTTATATTTGCAAAAATTTTTATGGAACCCTGTACTTCTAATTAACTACATAAGGCACTTCAAGCTTATATTACTACGTGTGTAAAACAAGGTTCATTTTGTTTAAAAAGTGGGTGCCGTTTCTGTATGGAATTTTCATTAACACTGTTACAGTTAGAGTTTGCTCTCTGACAGACAAGGGAAGTTTAATATCAACATTTTGCATTTGTTTTCCATTTTAGTGACAGAGATGCTGGTAAACGTGCTGAACATCTGCTCAGACGATGAACTGGGGACGGAGGAAGATGGGTTTGATGGTAAGAGCCTCCTGCCTTTGGTTGAGATTGTTGGCCTTGAAACTACTTTAAAAGTTTATTGACTAACCCTGGGATAATTTTCTGGATCCTGTTTAAGTTCTGTGCCGCTGAAAGCAACTGTTGTGCTAGACTCCAGCGGATTTGCTTATTGCATGCTTTGGGAAGAATTAATGGAACTTCTGGCCTGTTCTAACCCTTTCCTTGGTCTCACTCTTTTAGTTAAAAAAAAAATAAAAATAGCGTATTTCTCTCCATGAAATCTGGGTTGTGTTGTCATGGAGGGGGTCAGATGTTGATTTTATACATAAGACCCCAGGGGTTACTATAGGAATTTTAATTATATCGATGAAATGATCTTCCTACAATGAAATAAGCTTCCTGCAGAGCTCCTTCCAAAATGTTGGTACTGCAGTTTTGGAAGACTTGTTCTTTAAATATTTCATTAGTTGCCTCTTTTAATGCACTAGTGTATCTAAAAGGCTTTAAGAAGCAATATACTTAATAAAAATAAACATGCAAACACAGATAGAGAACGTTCTGACCTGACATTTCTGCTAAGAAGAGAGGAATGGTCGCTGCTGTTGTCACTTGGGTTGGACTTTATATGATGATAACTTGCCTTGTACCTATTGTTTTGGCTGTAAATGATACTTTATATCTTTCAATTTGGGGCTTCTTAGAAGTCAATTTATTTTATTAGACGTTATTTTCTGTTAGGCTATGCAGGAGTAAATTGCAGCTTTCCGGAATAGCCCTTCTCAGTTGAGCAAAACTGAAAAAAAATCCCATGCATCCCTAACATTCTTACTATGAATGCTTTCAATTTAAAAAAAATAATCTAGAACAGACATACTAAAAAAAAATCTAAAAAAGAACCTGGAAAAATCTATCACTACCAAATATTCTCAAGATATTTGTAGGTACAGTGAATGAACAGGGAGAATAAAGAACTTTCAAGTAAGACAAATATTTAATGATGTTGTAATTAATAATTAAACTTCTCTCTCAAAGTCTTTAGTTTTAATCTTTGGAAGAGGAAGCTAGATCATGGGTTTTGACAAATGTTTCCTTTGCAATGGAGAAGAAGTGTATAGGTTTTAGTGCTTTGCTTTTACTCTGAAAAGCCAGATGGAATTCCCTCTTCTGTATCCTCCACAGAGTGTGGACGTGAACAATTATCTTGCAGGACTCGGGACAAAGACTGAATTTATTGAAACCAGTAATCAGTGGAGAGAAGAAAACACCTGTTTGAATATTGTGCCCAATTTTTTTTTTTTCCTCATGAAATTTAAATAAGTAGCTACTGTGTAATTAAAGCAGCGTGTGAAACAGTACGGAGGCATACAATGAGTAAAAACTGTGTCAAATTAAATACAGTAGCAACAAAACCATGTGCTTAAAATCCTTGGCTCAGGAAAGCACTTAAGCACAGGCTGAGATCCCACTGAATGCGATGCCAAAGCAAAGGCTTTATGGGAAGGATTTTTAAATTAATTCAGCGTTGGCCTAATACTTTCTTTTAAAGTTGTGCTGTAGACTTCCGTTGAGCGCAGAAAGGCCAATCCCTGTAGTCCTTTTCTAAAATTTTAGCGCGTCAGCCTTCCCGTGCCAGAGGTACAGTTCAGGAGCAGGTTTTCAAAAACAGTCAGAATTGAGGAGGCGAGAGGGGTCTTTGGGGATGGCAAGCCCTCTCCAGCTGCAGGAGGTCTCCGCATCTGCTGCGGTTTTCTGGTTCCCCAGGATTTTCACCACGGCTCTCCTCCAGCCATGGAGTTTGCAGCATTGCAGGTGTCGGAGCAGGGAGGCAGCCTGAAATCCTCCGGGCTTGCAGGAGTGCCTACTGCATCACGGTATCTAACAGCATTAAAATTTCCACATGAGGGATGATTATACCATCCCTGGTGCCGTAAGGCTAATACTGTCATCTAAATCTGCTCTCAGATTTTTATTTATTTTTCTGTATGAATGCTTCGCCTGTGTAAAACATTATGTTAAGAAAGATATTAGAAACGTGGTCATCTTCAGCATGTGTAGTTAAAGCCAGAGCTGGCGTATGTTCATGTCTGCTGTGCTGGATAATCCCCTTGGAGCTGTAAAATGGGATCTGTGGCGCTGGTGCTGCGGCTTGCCGTGGGTGCACGCTTGTACCTCCAGCCCGTGGGGATCCTACACATGGAAGAGACTGAAGGATTCAGGCATAAAGTATATTTGATGGTTGATTTAAATTTAAATAGAGGCTGATATCTTTAATGATTTCCTGCTGGGTTCTGTATTATTATCTGTACAACAAAGGAAAATCCTCTTTTTCTCAGAGATAGAGTTCCCTCTCTTATTTTTTTTTTTTTTTTCCTTAGAGCTTTGCCTTTTGGGGGAGAAACTACAAGATGTATTTAATTTGTGTTCTTGATGAAACAGACTGGTGTGATTATCAGCTTAAAACTGTTTCTGTAAGGGCTGTATATTAACAGTGGTGTTGTGGTTCAACATTTCCACTGTCCTTCTTCAATAATTTCTGTCCAGCTTCCTTGGGGGACTGCAGTAGCACAGTCCTGTTTGCCCACTGACATTTTTCTTTAGCACTATTTCCCATAGAAGGAAATGCCTGATATCTGCAACAGCAGATAACTTTTGTTTGCTGTAATGATTCTTTAAAATCACCTCCTATTTTTGCATCATTGGTAGTTTCCAGGGCTCCCTGCTGATTTCCTTTCTCTCCTTGCAGTTTGAACATGCCCTGACCTGGGTTCCCACATGTAATGAGAATGATCCATCACTATGGTTTGCACTGATCATTCATTTGTTATCTTCTCTTACACTTTCTTGCCCTCTGTTTTCCCCTCTCACTTTCCCATTCAAAAATAAGCCCCATCAGTATTGCCTGACCTCACTGCATGGTGTTCTTATGAGCCCTTTTATTTTCATTTTCATTACTATTATTACTGAGTCATGCATGTTGCATCTAGCCATGAGCAGGATGCTCAACAGCATGTAGTCCCTTTATTTTTCCTCCCTTTTTTTGTTTTCTTTTTTTTTTTTTTGACTTAAGGAGATACATCATGGGAATCTGACCCATTTGTTGTAGGCAGTTTCTGTGTGTGCTTAGTGGGAGAAAGCCTAAATAACAATTGTAGTGCCCTTTAGCCCATATCTCCCTGCTGGCCCGCCTTGGCTTTTCGCTTTAAAAATGAGAGGATATGATAAGTCAAGTTTTCTTATCTCTGATGGTTTCCTCTTGCTGTACTTTCTCTTCCCCGTTTGCTATGGTGGTTGCAAAACAATCTGATCCAGCAAAAAATGTCTTGGGTGAACGTTAGTGCGTGTGCTTGTGTGGTTTGTGCATCAAACGTATCGCTTAGCAACAGGAGCTGCGAATACTTCTACCCAGCCAGCATATAGTCAGAGTCCTGTTTTATTTTAATTAGCAACATTTCTGGCCTCATGCGCTTGATTGAAAAAAAACTAAGCCGCTAATTAAAAGGGGTGCAATAATGTAATAGACAACTTGACACAAATGCACTGCTTGCTTTGTGTGCATCGCTATCATGATTTGGCGTAAAGGCGCTCCTAAATTACCTGCATTAATTTTGGTATCGCCTTCAACATTGTAGCTCACAGCCTTCTCGTGGGAAAGCCGCTGTCACAGTGCACCATTTATTCCTCGGCTGGAATACAGCTTCCCTCCTACAGCCCTGTAGTCCAAGCCTAAAGAGAATTACCAAGTCAAACGTCTCCCGTCGATCACAGCCTGGCTCTGCTGCGAACAGGGGCACACGGAATTTGTCATAGTGCAATAAACTGCACCCGGGGCACGCTCTGCACCAACTAACAGAGGCTGATTGAGCAAAATCATGAAGTCTCACTTACTTACCAAAGCTTTGGTATGGGTTTTCATGATACTCCCCGGGCAGATGAAGAGAGATTTAGCTTTTCAGTGAGTTAAAAATCAGCTAGGAGAGAAATGGAGAGGTTTTCCCCACCGGTTTATGTTTGTTCTTCCTCCAAACCAGCAAGGTTGGGCTGCAGTGTGTACCTGATCTGTGAGTTGGTGGCAGAGGGGTGTTTTAATGTGAGCTTTTTACTTAGTCATTCATGTGTTTGGCCAAGTATGGATGTTTCCATGCCCAAAGCACTTTTCGTGTGAGCCGTACTATGGCGTGCTGATGTGCTCTGCCTCAGAACCAACCCAGCAACATGCACTAGATAACCAGTGTCCCCAAAACACACGTCACGGAGCAGCGGCTGGGCACCAAGTGTTGCACTTGTGCTTGCTTCCAAACACAGTTGATTTTAAAACGCAATGCCTTGTGCCGTGGTGGTGGTTGGATTTGATGACTGCAAGCTGCTGGACCCTTGGAGCAAATGCACACATGTGGTAGGTAGCACAGATTTGGGTAGAAGCAGCAGACATGCCTATGATGCTAGGCTATTCTTTCAGATACCAGACAAAGTAAACTGGAAGAAGTGGCTGGATTCCTCTAAGAAAAGAGGTGTCATCAGGCAGGCATGCCCCACATAAAATGGAGGGAGCTGCTGTTTGGGAAGTGATTCAGCCTTATCAAAGCAGCTGCAATAACATAGGAGAAAGTATGCATTCAAGGGGTGGTAACACCAAGGCTAAGCTTTGCTGCTGATCTGCCTGCATGCTGGTTTCCTGCAAAACCCACTAACAAGGCTTTAAGCTTTTTTCATTTCCCCCCCATCATTCTCAATGTGTTTCTTTCTTTCTTGGATGTTCCCTGCCTAATTTGTTTCTTTTCTGTTTTTCAGACTTTACTTAAACATTGCGTTTCCATTGATGTTATCAAATGTTCTGTGTTGTTTTTTATTTTCATTCTGCAAACATCACTGATCTTTTTCTTTCCCCCCCTTTGGAATTCATAAGAAGATACCATTTATGCACAGAAGAAAGGTATTCAATAAGTTGGGAGGCTTAAGTTTAATTAATTTTCCTAATGCTTAATTAGATGATATATAATGTATTAGGATACCAGTGAGAGGATTTGGGTTTGGCTTTTATACTTGGTATTGTTTTCTATCTGTTCAATCCTAAATCTCAGAATATTTTCACAGTTTATAGTCTTTTTTTTTTTCATTGTTCTGCTTATTAATCTGAAGGTCTAAATTACATTTCACATAATTCCTATATATCCAGCTTGCAAGATCTGTATTTGGATGCTACAAATCTGAAATCCAATAGAACTTGTTAAATTACTGAAGTAAGATTCAAAGCTTTTATTCTACTTCCAAATAATTTTCCACACCAATTTTAAACATGGCTGTGTTCATGAGGTTTGGTGTTTCTTGTTGTGTTTTTTTTAAGTTGCTTCATGCAAATAGGGTTTGTTTAGATATTGAAAGGAAAGTGAAAGATTAAGAGGATATCAGGCAGCATTTGCAAAGGCTAAAATTCATAGAATCGTAGAATACAAGGTTGGAAGCAACCTCAAGGATGATCTGGTCCAGCCTTTCTTGGCAAAAGCCAAGACGTGTTGGCATCTTCACAAGCTGGCCCAGCACCCTGTCCAGCTGAATCTTAAAGGTGTCCAGTGTTGGGGAGTCCTCCCTGGGGAGGTTATTCCAGAGGCTGATTGTTGTCATTGTGAAAAATTTTCCTCTTGTGTCCAATCGGATTATCCCTAGGCGAAAAATTTTCCTCTTGTGTCCAATTGGAATATCCCTAGGAGTAACTTGTACCCATTATCCCTCGCCTTTTCCATGTGACTCCTTGTAAAAAGGGAGTCTCCATCTTCTTTGTAACCGCTTTTTAAATACTGGAAGATGGTGATGAGGTCTCCCCTAAACCTTCTTTTCTCGAGGCTCAAAAACCCACTTCTCTCAGCCTTTCCTCCTATGGCATCCCAGTCGTATGATCATTTCTGTGGCCCTTCTCTGGACTCTCTCCAACCTGTCCACATCTTTTTTGCATGGTGGGGACCACAACTGAACAGAGTATTCTAGGTGTGGCCTGACAAGCACTGAGTAGAGTGGGATAATGACTCTTTGGGATAATGACTTCTTTGTGCCTGCTGGTGATGCCTTTGTTGATGGAACCCGTTGGCTTTCTTTGCCACAGCAGCCCACTGGTCACTCATATTGAGCTCGTTGTACACCAGGACCCCCAGGTCCCTTTCCACAGGGCTGCTCCAGAGCTGGGTATATCCCAGCCTGTGCTGCACCTCTGGATTATGTTTTCCCAGGTGCAAGATCTTACACGTGTCCTTGTTGACCTTCATAAGGTTCTTGTCAGCCCACCTTTCCAGCCTGTTCATTCCAGAACTTTCCCAGTAGATGTAGGCTGAAGTAACCCTTTTACCCCTAGCCAGTTCTCAGGTTATGACCCATTTACTTTCACCTAAGTGTATGCTTAAGTGTAGCTGAAGTAATTCATAAGGATTTGCAGTGGTAGTGAATTTCAGAACAACTGGGGTATTCACACTTGAAATGTGAGTTTAAGATTTATGTACAAATAGTTTAGGAATCCAAATACTGTGCCAGGTTAGTGGTATTCAGTCAAAACTAACAGAGTAATAAAACGTTGTGAATATCAGATGCATTATTTAGCAAATAATGTTTAAAAAACCCAAACAGGATAAAGAAAATAATTACTAATATTTAGTAAACAGAATATTTTACATCATTTTCACAGGTCTGTTACGAATTAGGAAATTCAGTGGAGACGAAATCTTTCAAGTGTATTTTTTAGTAACCTTTTATTATGTATATTGATGAGGAAAAAATCTCCCTTTGAGACTGCTGTGTTTTATAATTAAGAATTTTTTTTCCATTCTTTTATTTTTTAGTGTAGGGCACTGTATTTTGCTTTAGTCATAAATCATATTTCTAGTTTTCAATTCTCAACTCTTCTGGAAGTTAAACAGTGGCTGAAAAAGGTTGCATATACTTGTAAGATCTACAAGAACAATGTGGGTTTGTAATAAATAAATAGGGATAGTGGTACTTGGAGAAAAAAAGAAAAGACAAATTGTATTTAAGTGTTTTCAAGGTTAAAAGGGCTGAAAAACATGTCTTGTGTATCTTGAGAGTACAGTTTGGGGAGATGTTAGTAACTGAGGCAGGAATATACCCCCTCTATTTCCTGAAGTACCCAGCTGAATCATTGCTGTCTAATTTAAATTTTTCATTAGACTTTTACAAATATATTTTGTTTAATTCAGTTGAATTACAGCTGTTTCTCCCACTTTTTATTGTCTAGAACTAGAAATTTATGCCTAAGACTGTCTTTTTTTTTAATCTTTATATTTTTACTATCTTTTCTTTGTATTTTTTTTTTGTTTGTTTTTATATGTGGGAGATTTTAAAACCTTCATTCTAAGCGTAGTTTCTTTCAGTTTTAACTTGGAGATACAGGCTCAAAATTTGAAGACAGTCTAGGAGGACAGTTAGAAATGCCTGGAAATAATGCATTAATAGCTGTCCCAAAAGATGGATGCATGCAAAAGTAGCATGCGTGATTGCAAGACATCTAGCTGTGCTATCGAGCTCCCACTTGATTAAACTCACCCCTTGCACTGGTTGGGGTTAAACTTGATCTTGACCACAATGTTAAGAGTTGCAGTGAGATTCAGCCCGAGTTTTTATGTTAGCTGTGATATTTGTTCCTACGGTTACTTAGCTTTCTTTTGTAACAACGCTAGGATTTGCGAGTTGAGTTTATTTTCAATTTTGAAAGAATTTTTGCAAAGGATGACTGTTTTGAAACTCAAGTACAGACAAAAAAAAAAAAAAACAAAAAAAACCACAAATAACCAGCACCTCCTTTTCACCTCTTCTCAGATGGCAGGATATCAGCCAGGCCACCTAGTAATCTAGTAAATACCATGAAGCAACACTTGCGTTCCCGCTGGTAGTCTCAAACTGTTATGGGTTTAATCATAATTGAGAAACCTGCAGTAGAAAAGGTGACAGTGCTTCTGGTAGAAGGGCCACGGGGCTGCCATCAGCAGAGATGTGTGGAGAAAGCTGTAACTGTGAGAATTACTGCACAGTCAGCTCCCCGAAGCCACCCAGCAAGTCTCCTGCCTGGCAGCACAGGAGATCTCCTGTGGACCAGCATGTGAAATGCTGGCACTGATGAAGCAGATGGAACTTTGGCCACTGGGTTCAAGCAGAGCCCACATTTCGTTCTGAGCCCTTTCGGCTGAAGTCACTTTGTGCTCAGCAAAGGAAGGTCCACGCATATCTGGGTCTTCTGCAGCTTTTCACCTCTTGCATCCCTCACCCATGTTGGGCAGTGCCTTGCTCCCCTGCCCAAGCACCTGTGGTTGTCTTCACCACTACCTTGGCTCCCCAGGGCTGTCCCCTCTGCTGCTGTAACCACCTCCCTTGTCTTTGGCCCTCTCTGCTATTTTAGCTTTCATGATGGACTCTGGTTCATAAAAGGAATCAATTTGCTAGGAATTGAAAATAGAAATTTTCAGTTTTGTCCTTGAATTCTGAAACCGTGAAGAAGGAAGCATTGTCGTGATGTGTAGTGGTTTTCAGGTTGCGCTCCTGGACCTCCAAGGCAGGAGTTGTCAGGAAGCATCCGTATAAACCAAGGTTACCTGTCATTCAGGAACCTTTGGGAGAAATCTTCATGATGTATGCAGTTGTGATTGTGATAATTTAATGAACCTGGTTTGCTTAGTATAACATGGCTTGTGGACATGGGGGGTCCTTATTAAGAGAAATACCTCCTTGTGGTAAGTTAGTGCTATTTGCTTTTCCCGTTCAGGTGGTTCTCTCATGGATGCACAGATAATATTCCAGGTTTTGATGACATCCAAGTAACAAGTACACATGCAAACTTAGCTGAACTGTAGTCTCTGTTCCAGTGTGTGTTTTTTGTATAGCAGGTTATCATGTGAATTCACAAATTTCAAAGTAATTGTAGTTTTGAGCAGGCCATAGCAGTGATGAGAAGAAAGTTGCTCTGTGGAGCATCTGTGCAAGCCAGCACATCCCTATTTCATGCTGGTTTTCAGGACACTGACATTAAGTTTTATAACTATTTAAATACTTTGTAACTAGAGATAGGATAACCCTGACTGGAGTCTTTTGACCTTAAGCTTAATCCACTCACTTTTTTTTTTTTTACAAAATTAAGTGATATGTGATAGGTTTTCACTTAAAATCTATTTCATAATTTTATCATTTTAGCCCCATTCCTGTTTAACTTTTTTTTTAAAATCTTTTTATGGTTTGGGCACTGTTCATGTTGAGTATCTTCTTGACGTTTTAACTATTTTCTAAGAAACTTGTTTTCAAAAGGGTGTGGTCTCTGAAAATGTCATTGAAATGGAAAATTAGCTTACATTGATGAAATAACATGCAGCTTTAATGTGTAGCAGGAAAAGGATCACATCTCTAAAGGTACTAATAACTAGATTGTTCAAAAGTGACTAGTCTTGAACTGTTAATGACACACACAAAAAAAATTAATAGTGTTGCTTACTTTGGCAAACCATGGCATTAATATGGTTTTTCTTGTATTCAGAGTTCAGAATGGTGAATATGTTGTTTACAAATCCCTTTAAGTGTTTTTAATGTCTTTTCCATAGGAGCAACAGCTGCTGCTCGAAAGGAGGTTATAAGGAACAAGATAAGAGCAATAGGAAAAATGGCTAGAGTTTTCTCAGTGTTAAGGTAAGGTTTTGTGCTGTTGCACATTTTTTTATTTTTTTTTTTACTGTTAAAGGACATCTTTGAATGATTCCTTAGAGAACTCTACTGTTAATCAAATGGCAAATTTGATGTTTTAGTATACCACCCAACTGAGTTTTACTGGAACCTTTTAGAGATTGTTTTATTTACACAATACTGCTATTTATTGTGGCTCTGAATAATCTTCTTCCTCAGGGCTTTTGCTGAATATAAAACAGGCAAAACAAGCAAAATACATCAGCAAAGTAAATTGCAATTTCCCTTTTTTTAAAGACTTCTGCTCACCAGGTGTACTAATTAACTCTTAGCCACAGTGAGGTAAGAGTTAAATGTGGAGAAAGGGTGTGTTCCACACAATGTCTCATTAAAAAGGAAGCCAACTGTCCCACTGTGTCACCCCCAGTTGCTGCTACAGCCATGAGTAAAGATGATTAAAGATGAAAGCATTAGGGTCATTTAACTAAAAATCCAGGAAATCATTGTGCAGACAACAGCAGCTCGTTACCCTGGGCTGCACTCCCCCAAACACATGAACATGAGTAACTAATTGCTACCCAATGTTTAGAACTCTCCATTTGATGTCTCTGAGCAGAGGAGAAAACATGCTGTACTGTGCTGTGCTGAAGTCTAAATATAGAAAATACAGTTCTCCCTCCCTTTCAGGAGAGGGATTTTTTTTTTCCTCAGGAAATTGTATGTTGCTGTGCTGTAGTCAGTTTATGGCTATTACGGTTAGTGCAAAATCAAGGGATTTTTTAAAAAATGTATGGGTATGATTGGTATAAAAAGAGGAAATAAAAATAGTTACTTGAAGAATACCCTCATAATTTCAGATGAAGCTCTCAAACTTGCTTGATTGGAGACTCTTCTGCAGCATGCAAGCAGTGGGCAGGTTGTCAGTGGGGCTTCGCGTGGACACAGCAGCTCACCCACGCATTGCAGATTGCAGCAGCAGAGCTTTAAATAGCCTACTGAGATGATGGAGGACTTTGTACCTGGGGTTCCCAAAGTGTTATGTGTGAATTACTAGTGATGCACAAGCTACTTCAAAGTGGTAAAAAAAAAAAAAAAAAAAGAAGCTGGCATCATGCCTTTTCCCTAAACAAGACGGGGGAGCAATCAAATGTTTCCACCTGCTCCTCTGTACCAAGTCTGGCAGAGAGCCTGGAGCTGACATTGCCACCACCTTCATAAAACAGCATGATTATTTTTCTCTGATGATAGTTGAGCAAACAAAGTTTGGGAAACCTGGCTTTCTCCCATAACCTTGAGCTGCAGCTTCTGGATCCCACTGTATTGTGTTGCAGAGCACCTTGTGAAATACAGCATTTATTTTACAGAAACCTGAAGTTAAGTATAGGGAAAGGCTTGAAATTGGATGTCCTGCAGATATATTTGGGTTTCAATAACTTGCAGATGGTTGATATCACATATATGTCACAGAACTTTTTGAAGGGAACTATGGGGCAGCAGCCTTTCAGTGGTTTCAGGGATGGAAGAAGGGTACAGCATAATTCTTGCATGTGCCCTGTTTAAAGTGATAAGCATGAACCTCATAGCTCAGGGTTTTAGCACCATTTGAAACTTTGAGTCCTTTAAAATTACTTCATGAAAATCAGCATTTTGAGGCAGTGATGGAAATCAGTTTGGACTGTTCCCTGAAAAGCAGTCAAATTCATCTCAGACTTGTTCATGGCACAATTTTTTTACCCCTACCACATGCATCCCAACATCTCCAGAAGACCAGAATGGCTTGTGTCTGGTAAAGGAGAAGCCAGTTGTTCATTCACTGAAGCTGCTGAGCCTTTTACAGTTCTTGGTTACTGATGGACCTTAAAACTTTGCAGGAGGGACTGAAGATGAAGAGTATATTTGGTCTCCTTTAGTTTTAACCAGCAAGTACAGCACATCCTTCCTGTGGTCAGAGGTATTAGGTATCAAAATAGTGTTGTGCTGAGTTTCAAAGGTTATAAGTGAGCATTGGTGAGAATAGCCATCATAGAAAGATGGGCATAAGCTCAGTGGAAGACCTCGTGATTCCCTGTCATTGCCTCTCTTTGACTTTGTTTCTCAAGTCTGACTTTTCTTTGGATATATTTAGACAGAAGAGAGTTAATATTTAATTAGTTTATTTTCCTTTTTTTTAATGGAAGTAAAGGACATCAAATAGAAAACAAGGAACAATGAAGGCTAAAAATTCTCTAAATTTTTGATATAGAGGTTTCTTGGGAATATGCAGTTTAAAGATAATAAAAATACAGTGAATAAACTTATTCTATGAAGGTGAAGCTAAAAGCATCATTGCAGTTTAATTTTTTTTCTAAAAAAAGGGATTAAATGGACTGAATTGAAAATGCAGATTATGCATTTGTTTGCAGAGGTAAATAATTGAGAGAAAGCAAAAACTTTGGTGTGTAATTCTTGATGAAAATATGGTGTTAATTCTGGAAATATTTGACTGTTGAATCAGTTCTAATTGCTTAGGAAACTTGCAAGGAAAATGGTCACAATTTGATTTTGACTATTACAGAAAGAAAACTGTGTATAAGGAGAATAATTTTCAAACTAAAAATAGAACTTGAGGAGTATATGGAGTAGGTAAACAAGATTTATTTGAAATACATGAGTAATTCAGGGCACATAAGTCTAAAGAAAATTGTAAACAGTAGAATTGCTGAGAGACAGTTTTGATAGACAAAAACCACATTATCCTCAAGTGAATGTGGAACTAAATTCTGTCTCCGTGCTTACTTCCTTCAGCTTAATGTCATTGTATATTTCAAAGTAAAGCACTTCAAAATAGGTTTCTCTTAAAGAATTGGGGTCAATTTTGCTGCTGAGCAAGTATGTCATCACAGACAGCATTATAGTGCTCTTAGAAAGCTGCATTTAATGGCTAGTCTGGATAGAGCTGTTGTATTCCTCTTGCCATATATTAAAAATGATATGTATTTGCAGATTGGTGAAATATACTTAGGTTTCCTAAAACATTTTTCTTGAATCCAGTATCATTTTTAGCACACAAAACTATTAAGAACAGTGCAAGTAAGGTGGAAGCACTTATTAATTTTAATGAGCTTTTAGCTGTTTGTTTTTTTTTTTAAGTGGCTGATGGTCATTAATAAATAATGCACCTGACTGCTAGTGTAGACAAAAGCAAAACAACAATTTAAGTTGATTTTGGACCATAGGGTATAACACTCTTAAATGTGTTGTTGGCAATAACTGCTCCTTTGGTCTTCCTCCTGTCAAGTTGGTGGGTTTATGTGTGTATATATATATTCAAATGTATATTACACATTGTTTTGTAGATGCAGGTTATAGCATTAAGTATAGTTAACCGTGGTGTGGTGCAAAGGTGAGCCACTTCCATAGCAGTGAGGGGAACTGCACTGGTGCTGGTGTTATCACTGGATCCAGTCTGGTAAGGACCTGTTCTGGTAAGGAGATTGGAGATAACCAAATCATTGCAGGGCACACGTAGCTCAAGATGTCTAAAATGTGTTTTTGGAGGGGGAAAAAAAAAAAAAAAAAGAGCAATTACTTACTTTGGGGTTGTTTTTTTTGGTTTTTTTTTTTCCTTCTGCAGAGAAGAGAGTGAAAGTGTGCTGACGCTGAAAGGTTTGACTCCAACAGGAATGCTGCCCAGTGGTGTGCTCTCTGGAGGAAAACAAACACTGCAAAGCGGTAAGCGTGTTTGCCTGTGTGTGGCATTATGTTTTTAAAAAAATAACAATTGGCTTTCAGCTGCAGAACCCCAGAAAAGTAACCGCAGTCTTCTCGGGGAAAAAAAATGAAGGACAGATTAAAACAGGCGGTTTGTTGTACTGGAGCATTTGTGAGCAGTTCATGTAAGGCCACTTCTCAAGACTTATTACATAGCACTGATTTTCAAAGAAAGAGGGTGGGGGGGAATGTCCCTGAAAATCAGCTGTTCAGAATGGTAGATCAGCATTGCATGTGAAGTGCACTCTTTCCACAGTTTGTAGCATCTTTGGGTTTTGTTTTTTTTTTTAAGAGGAGCTTCTGATACACAGAGTACTGAAGGTTCAGCTTAGATAGTGACACTCAAACTCTTATTTTATCTGATTTGTTCTTCCTCGTAGAGAATCACCAATGGAAAATAGCTCTAGAATTAGATTTTCTCTCCTAGCAATTCTAGGTGACAGCATGAGAACAATTTTGCTCTGATTCAAGCCCAAGTGAAGGGAGGCTCTTAGAAACACCGCGTTTGCCTTGTACACAAACACAATACAGAGTGTCAGTTCAGCTTTATACCAAGTGCTTTTTGTTACAGGAAATCTGTAAGTCTATAGTAGGGCTGCCTTTGATGAAATATTCCTTTTGGAATAAGGAGCTGCAAAAGTATTTAATTTACTACTGTAAGCTCTCCTGTTTTTTTTCTGTGTGTATTGCTGTAGAGTATATTGCAGACAGACAAGAATGTCTCTTGCTTATTGAGGTTCTGTTGGCAGAAGATATAAAAAATAGAAATGCTTTATAACCTTAACATAGTCTCAGCCTCTTGTTTTCCTGTTTCCTTCCTGGAGCACTCTTTCTCTGTATTTTTCCCTTTACTGTCTCTTTTACCTAGAAGATTCAGGTATATGGTGGTAAAACCTTCTTTTCCCTTTTTCCCCCTTCCCTGTTTTTCTTTTTTGATGACTTGTGTGTTACAGACATAGTAACGTTCTGCTTGGAAAATGCTGCAATATGATTCCACAGGATGCCTTTCTTAACGGGGTTGTGGGCTTTACCTAGGCTTTTCTCCATATAGTTGCTTTACATTTGTCAAAAAATTTGGTCCAAGGAAACTGCTGTTGTTGCCCTGGCAAAATATTAGGAATTGAAATGAATTTGAGAAAATTGCCTGAAGTTCTTGTTACAATGGCTAAAAGGAAAATCTCCTCATACTGCAGTATTCTGGCTTAGTAAAACATTACTATACACAAGCTTCTGCATTAGTTAACATGTAGTACCCCATTCACCAAATAATCTGAAATTTACATAGTTTCTGTTAAGCACACATTCATATTACCATATGTATTAACAGAAAATATGACCAGTATGTTCTGTTGTGGAAGTATATGTTCTAGTCGTCATTTTTTTTTCTAATGTGTCAGTGCTGGTTTGGATCTGATTATTCATTTTGATTTCTCATCCTAGTTATTGTGTTTCCTTTTCTTTTAAGTTGGCATTGGTTTCGCTCTGTGATTTTTTCCATCTCTCTTGCTCTGTAGCTTGAGAGGCATAGGTTTACCTTGGTGCATGCGGGTTAGCTCCTCTCATTTCCCCATGCAGCAAGATAACAGTATACATATTTTAGCATAGATCTCAATCCATATTTAACATCCTAACTACAAAAAAAAAATGTTTGGGTTTTATGGAGGATGAAAAAAACTCTTACGTAGTGGAAAATAAGACAAAAAAGAGAGGAATTCCTAAAAACTTGGCTTCTTGAGCTAGTCTCTAAACCAGAGAAGCTCTTGAAAAATCAAAATTTCTTGTTAAATATTTGAGCTGTGCCATTGCTATATTGGATTGCGTTTGCTGATTTGCATCTGCTTCTAAATCTCTTGACTGTAGAAACAAATTCATGCCAAAGCTGATGGGTAGAATTCAAATGAAATTACGTCTTTGAGAACAATGAATGGTTTTAAAACAGTGGTAATGCGGTATTTATAACACCGCAGCAACCTCCCAATTCCACACTTTTCTCTCTCTGACCAGACTTTGCGATTTTGAAGGTCCGACAACTTTCAATCTCGTACGAATGTCCATTGATTTAAAGAAAATATTAGAAGAATGCTGTTCTCAGAGACTGGGTTGACAAAAAGGACGCTTACAGATGGAGCAGACTGGGCGAGATTGCGAGCAAAGGCAAAGCTGTCTGAGCAAACTCTGTCCCATGCTGTGGGGAGGTTTCTTTTAGTCAGGAGAGAGGAAAAAAATATCATTCTGAGAAGTTACGTATGTGGCTCTTTTGCCTTGTAACTGACAGCTAATACTTTTCCAGCTGGCATCGTAAGTGGTACGAGTTTTGTGTGATGGCTTTATGCCATTTTTCGTTCTCTTTTGACAGGGCAAACCAAACTGCTCTTATTCAAAGCTGGGAGAATTATACAATGACCTTTTCAGGTCAGATGTGCAATATGGAAGGCATTTTCATTATGTAGTTCTTTTGAGTCAAAAGAAAACTACTCAAATGTGTCTTTAAAAACTTTTAGTTTGTGAAACTTCTGCTTCAAAACAAACTGTAGCTTAATTCAATCTGCAAATTACTGTTTTTGTGTAAGCATTTCTCTGTGTGTCTGTTTTGCCAAAATCCAGCACTTACAGTAACATTAGTGTTGTAGCTCCTTTGCTATTCACTGACTTGTTCTTAGAGTTAAAATCCTCTGCTCATTTTTCTCATTCGTTTTGCTACCCCTTTCTTCTCTTCAGCTACTGTTGAGGCTATTGAGGCTGATGAAGGTAAATTGGCCAGTCCCCTTTCTGTTGGTGCCACAACAGATAAGGGCTCTGCTGGGTGTATTCATTTTGCTGTAGCTTGTACAGATTGTGTGGGTGTTGGGCTAACAATTGTGGCTCGGTATTAACCAAAATGTAATTGCTTTAAAGGGGAAAATGTTTTTTCTTTCTTTGTTTTTTCTTTTTTTTTTTTTTTTTGTTTTTTATTTCCCGTTGCTGCTGTTGTGAGTGTTTTGTTTTTGGTTTTTTTCTATCTGAAAGTTACAGTCACGTTGGAATTGCTGTATGTTGAACTAAGCACTGAGTAATGCCACAGAAGGAGATCAGGGGACTTGGATTTCATGGGACATAACTCGGCAGCAGCCTGTAAATGCTCTGTGACACATAGCTCAAAAGCTGTACGCTGGAGGCTGGCTCTTGTCTCTGCCTCAAACTGTCCTCAGCAATCTCTGGTCAAGGAAAACACACAGCTTTTATAAATTTTCTCTCTTTTTCTTGTTTTTTTGTTTTTATTTTTTCCTCTTTTTTCTGCTTCAGTTTGTTTCCTTTCTTTTTAGGTCACTAGTCAAAAAATTTTATTGGTCTTTTGTTACAGTTCAGCATGTTTCTGTTTCTCTTTAAAAGTAAAGCAACATGAGACATTTGTCTGCAAGATGTCTGCTTCCTCTGGTAGTGGCAGTTTACACACTGGATATTTCCATTAGAGCAACCATTAACACCAGCACCATTTTAGCTACAAATATAAAGTGACTGGCTGCCTCGGAAGATTTCTGAATGTTTAGTATTGAAAACTGTGGTGCTTTATTGACGGACTTCTAATTTAACCCTTGAGCAATTTTTAATGCTATGGTTAAAACCTAAGTGTTCACGTATTGCAATATAGATGCGCAATATTCATTCAGCATTAAAAAGTTTTGGAAGAAGAATTTTCAGAATTCCCCTTTAAAACAAAATTCTTCAGTTGTATTTTGTTCTTGCCCCTCTCAAATTTTCTGTGGGTATTTTTTTTTTTTTAGTTAATTAAAAAAAAAAATCTGATGATGGCTGTCCGTTGGTAAGAAATGTGCCCTTTTGGCCAGTTGAATTTGTTTTTGGTTTTTGTAAAGCAGTGAATAAAATCACAGAACAAACAAGTAAGAGAAAATACAACTGCTTTCTAAATAGCAGTGAGTAAGCTGCTATTTATGTTGGAATTATCTATTCCTATCGGCAATCTCTAATCTGCAGTGTGCATTCTCGTTGACAGTTTGGCTGTTTTCTGTGACTTTCTGTGACTATGTGTTGTGTTTTTAGTATACTCTTCAATGTAAACTGCTAATACTCATTGTCTGACCAGCAACTACAGCAGAGCACCTTCCTCAGTGTTACAGACGATACCGCGTCTGCTTGAAATACGGTTGATGGAACGTGCCCCCCCGTTCCAGCAATATGCCCCCCTCAAGTTAATTCTCCATTTGCCATCCTTGCTAGTTAGACGTCTGTAACCGTAGTCGTAACGACTAGAGCCTACGTAGACCAAGCTAACGATGGAGAAAAACGTTTTGCCCCTTTACCAATTGTCCCCCTGCAGTTTGTTGGGTCCAGGGGCCCGGTGACACCAACTGGGCTGTGCTACAGGACACAGCAAGTCTTCCAGCTTCAACACGGCCATCCGTTAAACTATTGCTTTAAGGGATTGGCCCGGATGCTTGTTAGACACTTTTGTGATAGAAGACAAAGTGAAAAAAGCAAAACCAGCCTTGAAAAACCACTCACTGTAGGGCCTGTTCTGTTTTCACTGCTCCATCCCTGCTCACTCGACTAATCACCATTATGTTGTTGTTGTTTTTCTGAGTTGAAGTATATAATACATGTTAAAACCCATGCACTTCACAAAGTTCCAATATAACGCTTGTGAAACTGGCGAAGGAACTAAATCCTGAGGCAAACCCGATCTATCCATTTTCACAGGAATGGTTGGCAAAAATAGCAGCATGAAAACGCTTTTCTCGCTCCCCCCAAAATGCAAGGAGTGGTAGATTGGTACCAGGGATGTTCTGGGGTGGGGGGTTTCTTTGCTTTTTTTTTGCTTTTTTTTTAAACAGAATTTACCAGCTTGTCCAGAATCGGGACTGCATAATTTGAAAGGAGAGCAGGAGTACTTTAGGGTAAAGAGAAGATAAAGGGATATAAAGGAATTTTGAATTTGATCTTTGAAACTCCCCTACTATTTTCTCCCCGGGGAGTTTGTAGTTTCCTGGTACTAACACACCATCTTTGCTCTATGGCATGTTAAGATAGAGGCATAGTTAAAAAAAAAAGTGCCAGTGCTGGAAGTGCAGTGCATTGATTTGGTGCAGATAAGAGAAAAACACACAGAAGGCTGTGACAAATTATCTACAGAGCTGTGACCTGCTGTTTGCCTAAGGTGCTTTTTTCTCTTTTGCTTTAAATCTAAAGATCTTCAACTCTTCAATTAAAGAGAGAAAAAAGAATTTAAAAAAAAAATAAAAAAAAAAGCCACTCTGCAAATACATTCCCCAGCCTGTGGCTGCTTCTGAGGTCAGCGTGGCCTCCTCAGTGTTGCTGCTGAAGGGCAGATCAAAAGTCCTCAGGTTCAGTTGGAACTTTGGTCCTTTGTCAGTGCATTTCCAAAGGTAAATTGTACGAAATGTGCCAAAATGACCATCTCCCTGGTCCGTGTTGTACGGCGTTACCGCTGTTGGGCTCGAAGCTGCTTTCTACAAATCCAGGGATGTGTCGGGGAAGGTAACTGCCCGGAGCGATCAACAGCCAAGCTCGCCTGTGTTGAGAGCGACCTGTTGTAGGGTCTCCTCAGATCTCCCATAGCTTTAATGGGTATCCCACAAACTGGCCTCACCCTGCCATCGCCACCTACAACTGGCCAACGCTTTTGCCCCCCTGGTCTTTAAAAGTCAGATGGGAGTTTTGCCTGATGAAGGATGTCACGGCGAGGCACGGTGTGTTTTAGGCTGTAAGTGATGACAACAAAAGCTAACTCCCCCGGCTCCCGGCTGTGCCCTAAGCATGGTTGCTGATTGCAGACCGTAGTTTCATGTCAGCCTTTCAGCGTTTTAAGCTGAGCCACAGCGGACAACAAAGTATTGGAAGTTGATCTTGTTGAAAAAAAAAAAAAAAAATAAAATAGTTGTGTTGCAAGAGACGATGGTGGTAAAGCCCCAGCTTTTTCTGAGTACGGTAAGGAGTCGGTCGGGTTGTCAGATCTTCTCATTGCCGCCTTCGCAAAGAAGGACTTTCACAATCATTGCTAAGTTGGGGGAAAAAGCCGCCAAGAGTTCCACCTTGCTAATTTTACTTTTTAATAATCCTTTATTTAGCTATCAAAGGATTTTCACCCCAGCATAAGATCACTAGCTTCGAAGAGGCCAAAGGCTTAGATCGAATTAATGAGCGAATGCCTCCGCGCAGAGACGTGCCATCCGATGCCAACCTTAACTCCATCAACAAGGCAATCTCCACAGAGACTAATGGCACGGACAGCAACGGCAGTAATAGCAGCAATATTCAGTGACCACTGTCTGGGAGGGGGGTTGAGCTGCAGGGCGCGATGGGGTTGCTGCACATCAGCAGTGGGATGTTCTTGCCTCTGATAATAGCTTACTTGCTCTGGGGGCCAGGTGTTGGATTCAGTTTACAAAAAAATCATACTACGAAGAGATCGTCAACTTTAATTTGGTGGGAGGGAGGGTGGGGGAGAGAGACACCTCCTTTGGATATGCCTTTACAATGCTTGTAGAAAAATGAAAGCTCATGCTGGTATATATTGCAAAGTTAGGGGAATGAACATGTTTTCCTACTGCATTGGGAACGTCTAGATATGTTACTGAAAGGCCTTTTATTATGTTACTGGACATGAAAACTTTGTTTAATTTCTTACTAACTATTGTACGTTTACAGTTGCAGCACTAAACATGGACAACATCAAAACATTTTTAACAAAATGTACAAACTAAATAAGGACTATTTATTGATAATGTTTTGCTACTCTTGTCAGACAATGGCTATGAAATAAAATTAGGCAGTCTTTAAAAATATAGAGAAAAAAAAAGAAAAAAAAAATAGAATGTTGGAAATTTGTTTAAAATGCCAAAAAAAAAAAGAGAAAGAGAGAGAGAGTGAGAGAGAGAGCGAGAGCGACAGTTTAATTTTGTACAGATTATGCTTACCTCAGGTTTCTTTAGTGTGCTTCAATGCCCTTCTTTAAATATAACACTTATCTTACTAATTTGGCAGCAATTATCCTTTTCTTTGTTAAAAAAAAAAACTGGAATAATGATAACATTTATCTTTTTTTGCTGTTTATATTTAGGGGGGTTTGGTTTGGGGGGTTTTCTGGGTTTTTTTGGTAAATCAAGTCTTGGTTGTGGCTTGCTGAATTTAAATATTTATGAGTGGTGCATTTTTAAGTATAGTGAACAAGACACCATATTAAGTGCAGTGAAAAGCATCTATATTCTGTAAAAATCTGCCTATGCATGTTTTTTAAGAAAAAAAATGGCTGTATAGGCCTGTATGGGACTGTAATGCGCTTAGTGGTCTGACTTATACTGGAAATGTATGTATACTGGCGTACTTTATATTCTCTAAAAAAAAATGCTTAATGCCTTTGAAATTTTGTAATCAAAAAAAAGCTTTGAAAAATCTAAGGGGAGAGTATTCTTAAAGTTTTTAACATAAGCTTGTCAGTGCACATATAGATGGGTAGCATGTTTAGCAAACCTTGTGAAATTTAAATAAGTTTGTAGTTACATGTGAAATTCTAAATGCATGATAACTGTTAATGTCATAATGGTTTAGTCATTTTGTTCTGTTCTGTCATGTGCCACAAAATGTGTAATTTTTTCACTTTTTTCCCTTTGTATATCAGTTACGGGTTTCAACTGGTTCATTCTGAAAAAGAAAAAAGAAACAAAACAAAACAGTTCCATTGATATTTTTTAACAATTGTATAAGTGCCCAAGTAATTCACTACAGCCTACAGCCTTGCCTTTGTAATTTGACTTCGAAATGTTGGCAATCAAAGCATGCACTTGTAACAATGAAAGAAGCATTTTATATTACTACTCAATAAAAATGTGCATGAACTTAAGCCCTCTGCCCTTTCTTGCTGGCTCAGTCGCAGGAGCGCGCGCGGGCACACGGGCACGTGCGCTGGTTGCTCTCTCTTGCTTTGGACAGGAGAAGACCATCGGTGTCAGAGAAGAATGACTCGTTGCGCGATTCAAGGTCAGTTCTTTGCTAAGAAAACAAAAAAAATAAATCATTTACTACCTCACCGTTTGAGGCTACTGAACCGCCTGCCCCAGGTTCTGGTTAGCAAGTTGGGTTTTCACTAAAATGAGCAGGATGTGTCCCACAAATAGAGTGCAGAATAGAACGTGCCCCCTGTGTGCTTTCTCCACCTTGTCTGGAGCGTTTGAAAAAGCTCAGTTAGTATCATTTACAGAGTTCCTTTAAGGGAAAACAAAAAATATAAAAATTCAACCATTTCAGATTTCAAATGCTCTCTCTTTTAGTCACAGGTGAACTTTCAAAGCTCTGCCTTGCTCTCATTTTGTCCCTAACTGTGCTCAGCATCCTCCCACAGTCCATAATGCTGCGAAGAACTGCTGGACGATGCCAAATGGTGCGATGTCACAGGTGTTGCTTTAAGTCCTCCTTCCAGGTAGTGTTATTACACTTTAGCTCGGTGCCTGCTTTCTTATGTGTTTTCCCCACTTTAGCTCTTGTTAATTTTGGCAAAAATATGGCAGGTGGCAAAAATAAAAGAGAATTCCATAATAGAAGGGGCTGGGAAGCTGGATCCATTTTGGATTTAAATTTTTATTTCAGATTGCATAGAAATACAGAATCGTAGAATGGTTAGAGTTGGAAGGGACCTTAAAGATCATCAAGTTCCAACCCCCCTGCCATGGGCAGGGACACCTCCCACCAGACCAGGTTGCTCCAAGCCCCATCCAGCCTGGCCTTGAACCCCTCCAGGGATGGGGCATCCACAGCTTCTCTGGGCAACCTGTTCCAGTGTCTCACCACCCTCACAGAAAAGAATTTCTTTCTGGTATCCAATCTATTAATTTCACCTCTTCCAATTTAAAACCATTACCCCTTGTCCTGTCACTGCTCTGCCTGACAAAGAGTCCCTCCCCATCTCTCCTGTAGCTCCCTTCAGATATTGGAAGGCTGCTCTAAGGTCTCCCTGGAGCAGAATCTGAGTGAGTTTATGTGACCGCTTTCCTTCCCCCTTCTCGGGTCCTGTGTACGTGCTGTGCTGGCTGAACAACTGCAGGTTACCTCAGGTGAGTTCTTCTGTGGAGAACACGTGTGAGCTGGGGCTCAGCAGGCTCCTTGTGCAGCAGACAGCGATGCTGTTGGGCAGCGCAACGCGCGCTGTCTGGTTTCGTTTAAGTTGGGCTCTCTGGCAGCTGCCCAAACCAATTTAACAGCAAGAAAGGGGTTTTTTTTCCTCTCAGCGTAGGCATAGACTTCTCAGTTGGTAGACTTAGCCCAGAAAGATCCGTGCTACAAATGGGTGGTGGGTTTGCAAATCCCTGCTGTAATTGCCGAAGAGCTTATGGGTAAGCGAGGCAGCCCAGGCTGAGTAATGCATTAGGAAATGTACAAAGTCTGTCAGGTCAGTAAAGAGATTTTTGAGCTTTTTTTATTTAGAAGAACAAAAATGTCTTGAGCGTGCAAAATAGCAGTGCCCCGTGTGTCCAGGTAAGACAACCTCGCTTTTTTCTGGAGCAAGCCCCACTGTCCCACCACTGTGGGGCAGGTTCTGGACTGGCTCTGAGGGGTAGTCTGGACTATACTCAAATGTTCCTAAAAGGACAAAAGTTGTCTCTTTCCAGGGCAAGCCATCTCTTCCAGCCCTCCTTTGTTTCTCCTGCTGCAGAAGGAGCTGCAGATGAATTTGAAGGAAAAGCCTGGTGCCACTGAAGGCTGAGTGACATGCTGTGCCTCCCAGTGCAGGTTTCTGCCACCTTACCAAACATGCTACTTTAATGCCAAAAATATCATTGGTGCCTGCATCAGGACTTACTGTATTTTTTTAACCACTTTCTTCCCACTGTGTGAGATAATACATGTATCCAATGTACTATATTTTCTGCACCATGATCATTTTCCTTTACAATAGCTATTGAAGTGTAGCATGAAGCGTATTAGCTCTTACCAGACATTTTCTGAAGAAGACAACGTTCAAATCTTGCCCAGGGTTTCTCCCAAAACTGCAGTAGGTTTAACCCTGCTTAAGCTTCTGCCAGAATTGCCAACTGTCAGGCACAGATATAAATTCTTTCAGCGTTTTCCTTGACACCCTTTTTTATTGCAAGAGGAGGATCGTCTGGAGCCTCTAGTGGAGCTTGGAGTATAATTTGGCTTTCTCCTGTGAACATGGCCAGTGAAATTGAGGTCAGAAAGCAGGGCTAAAAACAGACACTGAAAGATGCTGCTTGTTAGCACAGACCTGATCTCTGTCCTCTCTCACTTTGACTTTGGTTTTTAGTGAAACGGTGTGTAAAAAATGAAAATTCGGGGACGCTTTCTAGGTTCAAACTGAATTTACAATTTTAGTCCTTAGAAATCAGTTTCCTTTTTTTTTTTTTTTTATTCCCAAGGTACTGTTGCTCAGATTAGTCAGATCCATGAATCTTCCCACTTCTTTCACAAAGAGAGGGATGTGAGAATCAGCTATTTCAAATGTTAAAAAACCACAAGCACCTAAGCAACCATTTGGAAAATAGTTGCAGATTGCTTTCCTACTTGCTTCTGGGAGGATGTTTGATTCTGCAAAAAATGGCCTTTTTTGGCACGCCAAAGGATGAGCAAAAGGTTCTTCAATGATTTAGGAAAAAATATATCCAACTTCATATACATATATTCATATGTATGTGAAAACAGAGAGGTCTTGCAGCCACCTCTGTGGGGGTCACAAAAAGGAGGAGTTGATGGAGCTAGAGGCGAGGGATTGTTTTTTTGGTCTTGCTGAGCTGACTTTGTGGTATCAAGCCTGATATGCATTATAAAATGTACGTTCTATGAGACTTTGAATTCAATTTTTTTATTATTATTATTTTTTAAATAACTTGGGGGCAGTTTCAGCCTTCTGTGTGACACATGTTTCATCAAGCTGACAGATAGCTGTGTGCTCGGGGCGGTATTCTGCCGCTGCGCACAGTTGCAGAGGGAAAGGGCTGCCTTGGCTCTGTCATCCCTGTCAAAAGCTTATTTAAGGTAAAGTAGCTTGGCAAAGAACGTGCTAATGGACTGATTCTGTGACCAGTGGGAAGTCTGCAGGCATGGTGGCAGACATGACAGTGTCCGCTCCTTTGAGAAGTCCACTAGTGGCCATCACTAGTTGCTCTGGGCTTCACCGAGGCCTCCTCTCCCTTTTGGGCAGAGACTTGCATGGTCGTTTGCTGGAGGTTTGGGTCTGGGTGCCCAGTTGGGTGATTCTTACAGCTACAAGACTCGACCAAGAGGTGGTTGTTTCATACTTTAGCTGTTACATCCCAGAGACAGTTGATGTGGACAATGGTGGTGCGACTGAGCATGCCCATTTCTCTTGACGCCTGGGTATTTAATAATCTCTTTTGCTTTAAATGAGTTGTTGAACACTGTGACTTGGACTAATTTCACAGCATTTTAGGCCAGAGGAGCCTGTATGTTACAGATCTGAGAGTCACTAGACTGGCAGGCACTGCTGAGATGGGCTCCTCCAACCCAACTGCTCACACGGGGTCAGCTGGAGCAGGTTGCTCAGGGCCATGTTGAGTACCTGCAAGGATGGAGACTCCACAACCTCTCTGGGCAGCCTGTGCCACTGCTTAACAGCCCTTACAGTAAAAAATATTTGTCTTCCATTTAAAAAATTTGTCTATTTCAGTGTGTGCCCATTGCCTCTTGCATGTTGAGTACCTGCAAGGATGGAGACTCCGCAACCTCTCTGGGCAGCTTGTGCCGCTGCTTAACAGCCCTGTTTTTTATATGCCTGTTACTGGGCCCCACTGAGAAGAGCCTGGCTTCATCTGATTTTTATACACCTCTTCTCCAGGTTGAACAGTCCCAGTTCTCTCCACCTCTCCTCATAGGTCAGGTGTTCCAGTCCCTTAATCATCTTCATGGTCCTTTGCTGAACTCACTCCAGTAAGGCCACGTGTGTCTTGTGCTGGGGAGCCCAGACCTGGACATGGTCTGTCTCACCAGTGCTGAGTAGAGGGGGGAAAAGTTACATCACCTGCCCTGGTTTCCTCTATATGCCATTAAATTTCTACAACTTACATTGATGCCAGTAATTTCAGCCAAGTGAAGACATTTCTGGCCTTGAAAGTCAAAGAGGTGGGAGCCATACCTCAGGAAACAGAGGCAGCAGAGGTACGTCGCGGTTGCAGAGCTGAGGAGCATTAAGATACAGATCCAAGAAGGTAAGAGAAAATGACCACCTCACCAGTCTGAGAGGACAGTGGAAGACTGAAATTATATTTATTGCCAAATTTGGTAATAAATTCGATCAGCAAATTTTCCAGGTAGGTATCAATTGCAAGAGAGAGGACCCTCTCCACTGTCCCCGTACTGTTCTGTCCTGTGCTGTGTCCCACCTACTGTTGATCCGCAGTGCTTCAGGAGAATGGAGAGAAGTCATCAAAAAAATCGGGCCAGTCTTGTACTGAGGGAAATAGTCCCTTCCTGGATTCAGCAGGCAAGTGGCTGAAGCCTTGAAGCATGTGATTTGTGTACACTCATGGCAGTGCAAATCTCCACACGTTATCAGGGCATCACATAAATGAGAGATCTTGTGCCTCCCCGGGGAGGGAGAAGTAACCTTCCGAGGAGGTTGCCTGAGGAGAAGGTAATTTGTTTATCTGTCAGTTGGTGGTTTATTGGTTTCAGTACTTATTTAATAAGCTTTGTACTTGTACTGCATTTTTCTAAAACGAGGAAAGTGCGCTCTGAAGGGAATATGAGGCTGACGCTGCAGCTGAGCTTAAACAAGGCTGCAGAGCTGATGTTTAGGCAAAAGCCTGAGGAAGCCCTGCAGCCATGGACCAGGGCGTCAGAGAAAGGAAAGGAAGGAGGAGTGGGGCTAGT